CCACGAATGAGACGCCGCATGAAAGATTCTTTACCTTCAACAGAAGATCAACATCGAGGTCATCCATCCCTTCCTGGCTGTGTTCTCCAGGACCCGTTCTTATTAAGCGCCATGTTCGCACCCACAAAACTGATCCGCTAGTCGACGAGGTTGAACTATTACACGCAAATCCACAATACGCTCATGTACGTTTTCAAGATGGTAGAGAATCAACAGTATCACTTCGTCACCTGGCTCCTGTTGGGGTGATTGCAGATAATGAGTTTGGTACAGCGGCTGAGAATGATATTGCGCCACAGAACAATGACCCACAGAACAATCAGATAAAACCCTTATTAAATGATACCTGTATATTTAAAGAACCATCAGATAATGCTAACGATAGCCCTAAGCCAATGAGTTCTAAGCCTAATGAAAGTTTAAACGTAACAGACAAATCGCTAAAAATTTGACGATCATCCAGAAAAAGTAAACCGCCTGATCGTTGGGGTTTTTAAGTAACCATGGTCCCTCATAATGCCAAATAATAACTTGAGTTTTTAAAGTGGGGGAGAATGTAGTGAGATGTTTGGCACTCCATACAAGGTAATGTTATGTTTGGCGCTCCATATGAGGAGACGATTCTGGAACGTGGTTATCAGGTTACTTGTTGTTATTATTTTCTATACTGCTTGCATTTTAGTTGATTAAAACCTTACAAAGGTAGACGAAGACTAAACGACTCTTATTTCGAAGTTCACTACAACTAAAAACTACTGTAACGTTATTTTTGCAAATATAATTTCCAAAAAAAAAACATGTCAGTAGGTATCGGGGGTTTCTAGAAAAACGAAATAGGCTGTCCAAAATGGAAGCCAGTGGGCGTGGCACTAAGCCGATGGGCGGCCCACGCCATCTTTGGGAATCCCCACTGAATATTGGTACGAAACAACGTACATTCGATTAATAAATGTTGTTTTTATCAAACGTATATGATTTAGCTTTAGTTTAATGTAACATTTGATAGATATGAAGGATATAAATAATTTGCTAAAGGTAGACCAGGCCCAATTAGGCTGGGCCTAGTCGGGGTCCAGGACCTACAATAATTTAGGATTATTCACTCTTTATTGCGCGCCATACCTAATTTATTTGGCATCCCATACTCGATTTCTTTTTATTCGGATATTTCCGTATGAAAATTAAGTTGGTAGTTAGTGGCGCTGTCCAGAATGTGAAAAAAATAATAAAAATGGGACTTGCGGCAAGTCTAGGCTAGGCCAAGCTATTAGGCCAAGCCGTCATGGTAAAACTGGCCGTCATAAATAATTGTAGGCCGTGCAAAAGACGGATGGATGGTTCGCTGGCTAAGCCTATGACAGGTATGGTACATACTTTTGATCCCAACCATTAAGTTTATTAATGGTGAATGATATGTTCTTGATTGAGAATTAATGCATTTATTTAATGGCAACCAGGTATTCCTGACATGGAATGGCAAATACCAAAGTAAGTAATCAAGAAATTTGAAATTTCTGTGATTACTTTTTATGGAAAGGAATTTAATTCAGTACCTGTCTGGCAATTGATTAAAATAGTAGATGAATACAATGATAATAAGCTGTATTGTACAAGTATGCCATCTCTATTTCAAAGGTCAAAGTAGTTTTTAAAAATATGCTGCATTATTATTGTCTGTTATATTTTGTTTTATTTTTGCAGCAGATGGTACATTACAAGGAAAATTAATTGATGATCTGGATTATGTATTGCTGCCAACCAAAGCATGGGAGAAACTGGTGTTCTGGTATGGCATTATGGAAGGCCAGAAACCTATTGCCCGTAAAGTTGTTGAGTATGGTACGTTTGTAAAGCATTGCAAGGTGGAAGTTTACCTGATGGAGTTGAAGCTTTGCAGTAACAGCAATCCAGTAAATTGTGTTAGCAAGAAGTTTAGCAAAGCAGATACAATAGGTAACGTCTAACTCCTGTAATCCTAATATAATGAAATTAAAATGCTACGATTGTTTGTCTATCACTGCTTTGAAATTTTTAATTTTTAATGCCACAAATAACAGAAAATGCTTTTTCATCTTTTGGTCTCTCAAACAAGAAACATAGATGGTATGGTGAAAATGTTAATATTGAATGGTGGTAATCACTATGTGCTGAACCATTTAGTTGTGTATGTCTATCCTCATCAAACCCTTTCTGCTTGAAATGCAGGTTTTTAGCATACGCAAAACTTGCAAATAGCATTTTCTGGAAGGAGCATATAACATTTAAAGGGGGGGTGCGGGGATGAAATAATTAATTTAAAATAGAGGGATGGGCGACCACAACGACGGTGACGGCACTCGATTTTGGAGCGCGGTATTCGAAAACGAGGCTCATGAACTGGGTCCCAAACAAAAAACTGGTGCTACAGGATTTTGAGCTAGTGTTATAAGATAGGGAATTTCCTAAAATGTACCGACTTTCAAAGGCTTGCATTCGGTAACCCCATAAAAAATTGTGTCAAACTTTAGATATTCCAATCTTTTCATTTATATGGGTTTTCACTTATGAAAATGTCTCAATTATGTGTAAAATAACGATTTGCCCCAGTTTTTATTTCGGAAATTTGCACTAGACAGGGAGTCAGCTGATTCACTCAACCGTAACGACATTAGCCAACTGATGAGAATTGTCATCGCGAGCGGAAAATTGAAAAATTAGGACTGGCGAAAATATTCAATAATAATAGTAAAATAAGTCGAAGGCATTTTTGAAGAATGAATCTTTCAAAAAGATATGTTTGCTGGTTTGGATAAGGAAGTCTTGGAAGTGGTGATCTTAATAGTGGCGTTAAATAGGTTTGTTACCAACTTGTCTTACCTGTGTAGGCATAGCCTAGCATTTAGTGCAGTACTGTATGTATGTAGAGAATACAGAATACTAACTGCCTGGCGCGACCGGACCTAGGCCTAGGCCACTAGTTTAGGCCTAGGCATATACAAACTATAATAATAATATTTCAAACATTAGACAAACAATCAACACTATTTTAAATAAAATGCATTAATTTACATGTTAATTATTAGAATTAAGAACTATCTTATTATTATTATTGGAACTATCTAGGACCTACTACTACTACAGGCATTACTAAAATGTCAGTTTATTCGTCGTGGAATGTGGATGATGCCTTGAAAGCTAGCTCAAATTTGCGCGGAAAATGGCTTGGAAAAATGTGCACAGAACTTAACTTCTGCATAATACATTGGCAATGGTTATATACAGTATTCAGATTAGTTCAAAGACTAATTTTCTGCATTCTTCTCGGAAATGTAACCACCTGCCTTAGGCGTGGCCCTGCTTGTTCCATGCTGGATCAAAAACTAGTAGAGGGTCAAATGTCCAGCCATTTTGATGGTCAAAATACAGGGGAATTATTATTACTGTACATTAGAAAAGATTGAGAAACAAGATAGTTTATTATACATATATTGTTTTATCTTCATTTGTAATTTTTAAACTAATTTTTATTTTTATATTACAAAAAAGTATTATATTAATGAAATAATAAATTCTATTCAAAATAATTGTGTATTAATATTAATAAAATAATTGCTATGTTACACCACTTTGCAATGCATTTGAATATGGGCTTTTCACAGTGATTGTTAATTAGAATATATATATTTTCAACAAAAATTATCATTGATGATTAGTGCCAGAATGATTAATTCCTTATAAAGACATTGTAATATCAATACTAATTATTTTTGAATGGTGTAAGAATAGTCACCCTGATTTTTTTTAACTAGTCTGTTCAAACTTTTTATTGTACTTCTCTTCTTACAGGAAATGCAGACATGTTGGATATCAATGGTTTTCATTTGGTAGGTGTTTAACAGGCTAAAGAAATCTGACAGAAGGGTCATCCCATCTTGCACTGTGTGGGCGATTAGGGACAAGTTCCCAGAAGCTGTGAAGACTGCCCTGGGTTTTTTGATGCTATAAATGATGAAATAAACTTTGTGTTGGAAGAATTATTTATAAATTGTTATGGAAGATACCTGTCCATCCTCATTAATGCAACAGATCTTATGTAAATAGATTCATTCTTGACAATTCATGTGACAACTGTGCTCTGTTTTTTTGACAATCTCATCACTTATGAAAGGAAATTTTGTCAGCACAGGCCTAGAGCTTTTGTATATCTGGACCAGTCAATTGTGTGTAACCTTCCAGACCTAGTCTGTAATTGAAATTGTTGCTATTGATGCGGATAGGCCAGCAAAGTTGATTTCAAGAACATTTTGTCGTTAAGTACAGTACAATGTTTTTTGTATCTTCCCTACTCTCGTCTCATATTTTAAAATTTTAAGCTAATACAGTATGAATTATAATTTTGTGTACAGTAAATAAATGTAACTTGTTCTTCCCTATTCTTTACATTGGTATAAACTATAGTAACTATAAATCCATATATATAATATTTTGATAATAAATAGAGTGTGTAAAATGCAGTGATATATATTGTAATACCTGACTGCTTGAA